AGTATTTAATCCAAGCATCTGACCTGAGGACGACACTGAGGAGGAGAGAAAGAAAGGGAGGGAGATATGTGGGGTAAAGAGAAGGAGGTGATTTATGAGTTAACTCGTCAACTGAGGAGGAGAGAAGGGGAGAAACTCATAACTGTAATTCCCTCACACACCCACGCGCAGTTCGCTCACGTACATATACACACATACAGTATGCAGGTGCATGCACACAAATGCACTGCCACCCCCTGCTGCGCATAGGATCACGTGTGAGTATAATAAAATAACTACTTACTTAAGAAGATGGAGATGTGCTGGGACACAAGATGAGATAATAAAGTTCTGCAGGGATACAAGATGAGACATAAGAACTGAAATGGGATGTATGGTGTGAGTGTTAGCTCCAACAGGCTGTATGAATTCTTATCTTTTGCTTTCTGACTGGTAACTGTACACAAGCATAAACCAACTGCTTCTGTGCAGTTTATGTTTTTTATATGTCATATAGGACTAATTTGAGTAGAAATCACTTTTATAGAAACAGGATCGGTTATGAAGTTTTTTCCCCAAGAAACAATTCAGATTAAAAAAATAATTAACAGAATGAATTCAGATGAAATAACAGGACAGTGCTTTAGTTTGCATAGATGCGTGTGTGTGTGTGTGTGTGTGTGTGTGTGTGTGTGTGTGTGTGTGTGTGTGTTTGTGTGTGTGTGTGTGTGTGTGTGTGTGTGTGTGTGTGTGTGTGTGTGTGTGTTTGTGTGTGTGTGTGTGTGTGTGTGTGTGTGTGTGTGTGTGTACGTGTGTTCACCAGTGAATAGGAAGGATATGGGCTAGGCGTTAATTGTGGTTGAGCAGCAGACAATCGATGCTCGCCACGCAGTGACAACCTGATGATAAGCTACATGATTCTACCTGTCAGAGCTCACTTTCTTTTTAGTGCTTTTAAATCACATTGATTGGCAGCCAGAAGGAGTGTGTGGTTATACAGTTATTTTAAGCGGCCCTCATATTTGAATATGCATGTAAACCCCTGTCGGCGTGCGCTGAAATCCACCGCCGGGTACTGACGCGTGTGTGTGTGTGATGCTGGAATATCCAGTTGTGTATAAATGTGAGGTTTGTGCAGGCCTGTGCATGTGTGTGCACATTCTCTCAGATTACTAATGTAATATTGGTAGCGAGTGCAGAGGACGTGTGTATATATGTGTATGTGCACACGTGTGTGTTTGAGTGTGTCTCATATTACTAATATAATATTGGTAGTAGGCTCAGGAGATGTGCGTGTGTGTGAGTATGTGTGCCACAGAAATTGAGAACTCCACATGAATTTAAATCAACGAGCTTGCAGAGTAACCTTTTGTATATCCAATCTGCATCTTTCCACTGCTCGTTATTAAATTATCCCCTAATTGGTCACGCAACAAAGGCAGCTGATGAAAAAGACAATTTCTTGCTTTTAATTGGGCATTTCACGTGTGCTTCGTGTACACCTGTGTGCGGCTGCTTCGGCTCAGTGTGTCTGAGTATGTGTGTGTGTGTCTCGGGTGTAATGAGAATAGGACATTAGCAAGGGCTTGGCAGACGCCGTCGCAATCAGTTCCACTCTTTCCAGAGAAGGAGGGAGAGGGGCGGGAGGATTAATCCAGACATTAGCAATCTTAGAAGGAGAAATAGATTGGAGGCAGAACAACAAAGAATAAAATTCTCCCAGTTTCCTCATGTGACTTTTAAGAGCCTTCAGTTGTGTGGCGTAACATGCAGCCAACATTTCTGATCCACTGTGCCATGGGTGCATGTCTGTGTCAAGCATGTGTGTCCATGCTGGGAATCAGACTCATACCCATGGAAGTGTTTGCACCATGCTGGACTCCCTCAACTACACAAGGCCAAATTTTATTTCAGGTTATTTTCCTTCCTCCGGCTTGTCTTTTGGTGTTTTTTGCTCAACTTTAGGCGTACCACCAGTGGTGTGTCACGCCAAAATAGCCCAGCTATTGTTGCAGTCAGCGGAGCTGAATAGTGCAGCTCATTGTGTTGTGATGGGAGGCAGGGGAATGAACAGGCCATAAACACTGGCCCTATAGCACCCTGGGGTCGTGCAAAGGTGAAGCCTCACTCCCCCTAATAGAGGGGCTCCGCTTTCCTCTTCTCTCCTTTTCTCTCTTTCCTCTCTCTCTCCATCACTTTGTATCTCTTTCTGAGTCTCTCCCTTTCTTATTTCCTCTCTTGATTCCCTCCTGTTTCTCTCCCTCACCCCTACCTCTCCCTCTCTCACAGTCTTTCTCTCTGTCAGCTTATTAACGGTCACAGCAAGAGTGTCTGGTTTGCAGACCAGAGCCCCTTGCCCCCCCCCTCCTCACTCCTCCTTCCCCCCCATTCTCCCGCTCTTCATCGCTCCGTTCCCCTGGCCGCTATTATGAGAGGCATTTTATCCTTTGTTCCAGCCCCCATGGTGCATCTGGCCTCAGATATGGGGACGACGGGGACAGGAAACTGGCGAGAGTTTTTGCGAGGAGGAGGGGGTTTGGTGGGTCAGAGTGTGGGTTTGTTGCTGGGAGGTGGACCGCCAGTTTCCACCATACAGGGAAGGAATGATAAGGAGAGAGCGAGCAGGAGAAGGAAACAGATACAGAGAGGGACAGAGAGGGAGGTATGGGAGGCAGAGTCACTGTAGTTGTTCTTGTAGTAATAGTAACAGCACTTGTAGGGCTAGTAGCAGCAGTAGCAGTGGTAGTAGAATTATTACTTCACCGATGCATAGTCTATTTAAGCCTCAGAGTAAATAAGCACTGGTGCCATATTTCTGGGAGGTCACATCAAATTACAGTCCAATACTCCGTGAGCCGCATTGTACCAGTAACAAAGGCCTGACTTTCTAAGTAGTGCACACCTATTGCCAAAACAACCTCCTTTGTTGCATCAGTGTATTTTTGAGGGAGGTAGAAGGAACCACGTTTTGCAGGAGAGAAACGGAGAGAGAGAGAGAGAGAGAGAGAGAGGAAGGAGAGGCGAGAGAGACTGCAATGAAAGACAAGAGAAAGGAGGTGAAGAGAAGGAGAGGTCAACAGTTAGCTAGTGCTGGCCTCAAGTTGACCTCCTTCTATAAAGGGCCTGGAGAGGAGAGAAGAGGAGAGGAAAGTTAAAGGAATGCTCAGGCCTCCTCAACCCTCCTTGCCCTCTTTCCTCGCTCGTCCTCTCATATCTCCTCCAGCTAAACAGGGTAGCAAGGAAGGGAGTGAAGGAGGGGGGTGTTGGTGATAAAACTCCAGACGTTCCCTCATGTGATGGTGCTCTGCCATGTCAGTGCATTCTTGCATTCCTCCTTAGCTCTCACTGTTTCTGTCTCCCCCCAAATTCCAATTCAACATACTTTATTATAACAAATAGAGAATAAAATAAAAGTGTTGAGCTCAAAGGTTAAAATGAACAACAAAATTAACAATTTCTCCAAAGCGGCTTACAAGATATAACAGGGCAATTATATAAAAACAAAACAGGGAAACAATCAGGCTGATAATCATCCCTGTCTCTTGCTATCTGTCTCTGCCACTCTCTGTCTCCTCATTTCCCTCCAGCTCTGTCTTTAGAAGGCAATACAGGATAGAAAGAGGGCAGAAAAAAAGGAGGAGCGCAATAAAGCCGTTAGGGAGAAGGAATATTAAAGAGATATAAAGCAAGAGGGTTCTGTTCCCTAATCAGGGGTCAAACAGATGCACCAGCTAGCATCCCTTTGTTTCTGCTCCTCCTCCTCTCCTTTCTTAGATCTCATAAACGCTCTTTTTTTCAGCTTCAGAAGCATTGCGCAACTATTGTTTCCCTAAAGTTCGGCTAATGCCCCCCCTTTTAGAGATGAAATAGAAGTGTCCGGTGGGGCAACAGCAGGAACACATAAATCAAGTCAGAAGCCCCAAGAGCCTTCTCTCCTTGGGGTCATTACAGGTCAAAGGGTCATTTCACAAGGGGTTAGGCTGAGCAAGGCCAGAGCGCTGCCTGTATGAGAGAGCATGAATGTGTGTGAATGGACATAGGAGAGGGAGAGAGATTAAGACTGTGTGTGTGTGTGTGTGTGTGTGTGTGTGTGTGTGTGTGTGTGTGTGTGTGTGTGTGTGTGTGTGTGTGTGTGTGCAGTTGAAAATTAGTGAGTAGCAGATTTAAATATGAGTAAGGGTGTGTGTGTGTGTGTGTGTGTGTGTGTGTGTGTGTGTGTGCGTGCATGTGTGTGCACAATAAATGGTCTGACCGTGTGCTTTTATTGGAGGTCACAGGGTAAAGGGGTTTGTCCAAGGCTATATGTACCAAATCCTCCTCCTGTGAAAACACACACACACACACACACACACACACACACACACACACACACACACACTAAAAAAAGCTCCTGCTGTCACAGAGTAACACATGGTCACCTGTCTTAACAGAGTATCACCCAAAACAATGCCTCTCACCAGTGGCAACGTGACATGTTTCTGTCAGCAACACTTCCCACACTGCTGCGCTCGAAGCCAAGTGTGTTAAACAGTCAGCAATCTCAGCTCGTCGTGAGGTGGAATGTCTCCAACAAAGCGAGATGGGTCGACATGTTTCAAACAGGCAGAGAGAAAATCCCGGTTAAGCCTCGCCCCACAAAGACCCCAGTGTTCGGGCCGATGTGACTGTGTATAAACTGAGGCTGTGCAAGTTTGTACAAGTCGTGGACTTTGAGACGTTTTGAGAGACAACTGCCTCGGTTGTTAAGGCTGTTAAGATGTGACTTTTGCAGTGGCTTTAACGGGGCTCAGGGTTGCTTAGGAGAGAATCATTTCTCCATATCACTATTATGGTTAGCTGAGAGAAAGAGGCTGGTTTGGCAATGCGTTTGTTTTTGTGGTGTATGCCAAAATTTCCGAGGTCTTAGTCAGCTATTTTCGCCTGATCTTGTTTTGAGAAATACACTGACTGTGTTTCTGTGTCTTTGTCCCTTCTGCCCTCCTCCTCCCCACCCTCTTCCTCCTCCTCTTCATCTTCTACAGGTTCATTAATGCCAGGAGGAGAATAGTCCAGCCCATGATCGACCAGTCAAACCGTGCAGGCAAGTCTCCTATAGTTACTGTATTCAAGTCGCGCAGGCGAAAGCCATCCGCACTCCATGCACCCGGAGGCCCCTCAGCTGGTAAATACAGGAATGTCCAAAACCTCTCGGGGCTTTCCCCTTCAGTGTCGTGACTGACCACTAAAATTAAGAACCAAAACGTTAAAACATTAACAGCAACCATTAATCAACTTTGACATGCTATTTGGGGTGAGAAACTATTTTATTAATTATAAAATATAATAATTTGGCTGAAAATGAGTTAACAGTGAGTGGATTTATTTTTCTTAGCCCGTAAACAAAACTAGCTGTGTTCTCAGTAAAGTTTGCTCTTAACCCCTTCCTCCCCCCTTTGCCAACCAGGCAAAGAGAAAAAACACTCAACCCTTCCTCCCTGGCTCAAACCAAAACATAAAGAGAACTACACCCGTTTCTTTTTTTGGGTGACCGTTGTTTGGCTTTTTGGCTCCAGACCTGTTTTTACCCACCCACCCCTCACTCCTTTAAACTCCCCCCTCAACCCTATTTGTGGCTGTTTCAGGGAGTGAGGGAAGTGAGTGAGCGGTCCCCCTGGTGCATGGCTTGGTTTGGACTGCCGTAAACTTTATTACCTGTAATAGGGGCCAGAGGTCAGGGTGGCATTAGGGGCGCAGTAAAGTTCAAAGGCATTCAGTGGGGCTGAGTTCTTGCTTTTGCTTGACTGACCCCCAAACAGCCTGAATTGAAGGTAAGTGGATTTCTATGAGAGCAGAACAATGGAGGCGAGGGGAAAATAGGAACCCTATCAGGTTTCACTTATCGTCGCTGTTCAGTTATAGGCTGTATTTATTAGATAAAGCATTTAGGTAGGAGCAGATTCTGAGCCCAGTCACCAAGAATGACTTATTGTTGACACAAAGGAAAACTGATTAGAGCGTCAGCCTGGAACTTATTTTGCTCTTTTGATCATGTGTATAATCATATATTGATAGGAGCAGCAATTATTTTAAAAGAGAGTTTGTTCCCAAACTTTTTTTTAACCACCTTAAAGCTACTTAATAAGAGAAGAAACTGTAAAAGACATACATAAAAAGAGCTTTATCCACATTAGGACTTCACTCATGCTACCATGTTTTATTGGGTTTCTATCAGTTGTCACCTCTTCTTTCAAATCTCATTTTAAAACAAAAGTCCTTGTGTGTTTCAAGTGCAGTGTTTGTTGAACTCTCTCAGTCCGATCCCTATTAGAGCATTTAGACGCATTAAAGTCTACCAGGGGCTTACAGTGGAGAGCCGGCTGAACAGACACGGAGCAGAATGACGTTGAAAGACAACGGTGGCTCCCTGTGCGTGCACTGGCCAACAGATGATCCCGCTTCGGCCACTGAGCCTTAATTAAAAGCACTAATTGACCACTCCATCCCCTCCCTCCAATCCCTCTATCCCTCCCTCCCTCTGTCTCCTCCTCCATCCACAGTAAGTCAAGGAGCTCCCTACAATCCAGATGGCCAGCCGATGGGGGGCTTCGTCATGGACGGCCAGCAGCACATGGGAATCAGACCACCTGGTAAGGCTTTCTCTGCGTGTCTGTTCCTTCCCTCCTCACTTGCTCTTCCCTTCTTTCTCCTTTCTTTGCTTGCTGTTGTAAGCTGATTTTCACGCCCTCCTTTTTCCCCTCTTTCTGAGTCTTGCCTCATCAGGCCTTTCTGTTATATTTTCACTCCCCTGTCCACTGATTCATCGCTACCATCCCTTCCTTCTCACCCCTTTTGCTCTCCTTTCTCACCTTCTAACAGTATCTCAAGGTGTCAGTGTGTTTCATACAGTATCTGCCATGTTGGTGGTTTTATTCAACCAGCACGCTCCTCTTCTTTTCTCGCACACACAAGCACTTAGTGGAAGCTATATGGTCACTGTGTGGTGGTTTAAGTGTAAGCTGGGAAGTATGTGCACCCTAAAACACAGTGATAAAGATACACAGACACAGACACACACACACACACACACACAAACACTGCTACCTCCCCCTTCCTCGACACACCAGAACAGGTGTGGTCAATCACATTACACAACCATCTCCTTCCTCACTCCCACTCCCTCGCTCTCAGTCCCTCTCTCTCACGCCATCAGGTCTAATCCCAGAGTTTGTCCTTAAGCTCCTCTCCTCCTCCTCTATCCCCTGTTTTCTGGGATTCTCTCAAGTCTCTAACCCTATCTCACCCTCCACTCAAAGTCAGCAGGTTTGGATAAACTGCCAGGCTACTTAACCCCCCCACCCCCCACCCCACCTCGCCCTTCCAGATTTAAGCCAGTGCGCTCCTCTGCTTTGGTGTCTGTGAAGTTGGTTTCACAGGAAAGCCATCTCTCTGGTGTTTACCTCAGTGTTTTCCTTTTCCTCTTTACACTTGCTATAACTTGATAAAAGCAAAAGCAGTTAACTTAAATAACTTTAGTTAAATTGCATATAAATATGACACCTTTTTTTACTTTACCATGGTTTTGCATTTAAATCCACTCCCTCTGTGTTTCTCAGGACCAATGGGTGGAATGGGCATGAACATGGGCATGGAAGGTCAGTGGCACTACATGTAGCCCCTCCCCAGTCCAACCAATCGCAACACAAAGGGGGATGTAAGTACAGATGGACATACACCAGCTTACACTTACAAATTGATCTAACTTTCCAGATCAGCAGAGGTGATTCTGCAACATTTTGAAACAGTCTCAGACTCAGATATACATTATTCATGTTTACTGCAGATCAAATGGTTATTCTCCAAACTGATAGTTGGGTTAAATTAAATTGTCCTTTTATACAAACACGCTCTTGTTCTTTCCAGGCGGATCTTTCTCCTTTACTCTCTTTCTAACTGTCCCACCCTCGGTCTGGTGATAAGAGCCTTTGATCACAACCTTGTAACTCTTTGTGTATGCATTGTGTGTGTGTGTGTGTGTGTGTGTGTGTGTGTGTGTGTGTGTGTGTGTGTGTGTGTGTGTGTTTGTGTGTGCATGTGCTTGTGTGTAGCTGTTTCGCTCTCTCACATATCCAATAGCTACAGGACTAAACGTCCTTCATGTCAAGGAGGGGAGGAAAGAAGAGAAGGTTTTTTCAGGATTAAAAAAAGAAAGAGGGAGGATAAAAACAGACGGTTTGAACACATGTATGTCTATACATACTCATAGACAATATACAAATAGCAGTTATTGATGATAATCAATTATATAAATAGGTTTTAAAAAATCGATATTATTGAAAATCAAGCATTTTGTGCATTAGTTTGGTACACATAATTCTATTTTATAATTCTTGGCGTGTGTGTTCTTGTGTGTGTGTGTGTGTGTGTGTGTGTGTACCAAACAGATAGAACAGAGGAGAAAGAAGGTGAATGGGGCAAAGAGGGGAGAAAGGAGGAGAGGGGTGATGAGAAGGAAAGAAGGCGGGGAGGGTTCGAGACAGGGGGTGGGTGGTGAGAAGGGGGGTTGGTAGGGGGAACTGGGGGGTGGGGGGGCAGGTAGGACGTTGCCATGGCAACAGACTGATTGGCAAAAATGTAAGCAGTCGTCGCTGGTGCAAGAAGAGGGAGAGAGAGAGAGAAGTGAGCGCCCCTTAAGTGTCATAAATCTGCCGGGTTGCTGTTGATGCATGAGCCACATTAATACACACACTAACCAGCTAGAGGAGCCCTCCCTCTCTATCTTTCTCTCTTTCTAATGCTTGCTCCATCTCACCCCCTCTTTGTGTTTTTTTTTCTCACTGTCAATTCTCCTCCTCTATCTCTTTCACACAAACACCTTTTTTCTGTTTCTCTTTAATTCTCTGCTTCTCTCTCTTTCTCTCACCTCCTCTACCCCTCTCCCCCCCCTCTCTCTCTCGCCCCAGGGCCAAATAGACTCCCACATAATTCGGGATGTATACAGGCTTGGTGTTGTCACAGTGCACAGTGTGTATAAAGTAGCTATGGGTCCAATTGTTGTGAAACATCATTGTTTAGTATGTGTGTGTGTGTGTGTGTGTGTGTGTGTGTGTGTGTGTGTGTGTGTGAGAGAGAGAATTAATGTTTGCCTGTGTTTGTGTATGTGTGTGAACCTGTGTGTGTGTACCTGTGTGGGTGCGTGTATACCATATACAAAGATTCATATGTGAAATACATGCGTTTGTCCATGTGTGGGTGTGTGCACGCGTATGAATGTGCGTCTGTATAACGGTGTGTGTGTGTGTGCGTATGTATGTGCATGTGTGTGTATGGTAATAGGATTACTCCTGGCACAGGGAGGGGACACAAACTAGTGCAAAATGGAGGAGGTAGCCAGCAGGGTATGGAGCTTAGCTGGGCCTAATTGACTAGATCCAAATTAAATATGCCATCACCAGAGGTGTGACCAATGGATTTGACTTATTCAGTTTACAAAAATAGAGACCATTAACCCTCCACAGAATGCGCGTGCGTGTGTGTGCATACCACGGTGAAAATATGCCACCCTTGTTTCTGTCGCAAATGTCCACGACCAAAGCAAAGACAGAAGATCTCACATCGAATGGTATTTTTCAGGTTTGAAATGCAGGGAGGCATGGTAATAGAAAGGCTGTGCTTTCAGAATGAGATGTGTGTTTGTGTGTCTGTGTTTATGTGTGCGAGTGTGTAAACATGAGGGCTGGTTTGCCGTGTCCAAGCTGCCTCTTTCCAGCAGCTGCTAGCCTTCCCAGCAGACCTTGCTTTAAACAGCCTCAATTTGCCTGCTGAATCTCGTAATTGGGCCACCAGAGGAATCCTCTGCGAGACGGGCAAAGCACAGAGAAGACGAGTAGACAGCGGAAGAAAAAAGACAGAGGGAGAGAGAGAGAGAGAGGGGTAGACAGAAAGAGGGAGGGGCGGATGAAGAGATGGCGAGCGAGAGAAGCGTAAACGACAAGAGGGAGGGGTAGAGGGAGTAAAAGGAAGGAAGGAAGGAGGAGGGAGGGAGGGAAGAAGATAGATGCTGGGAGAGGGATGGTGACAGAAATATGTCTACTCTTGCTCCCGACTAGTCGTTTCTTTACAGCTTCATTAGCTCGCCGTTGCTAGCTGCTAGCATCTCTCCGTCAAATATTGCTACTTTCCTTTCTAGGTCAATTAAATGTAAGTGATGTGTTATATTCTTTCATGACCAATTAAATTAATAGGTTATTACGGGAGGGGGGGAAACGGTTATCTTATTTGATTAAGAGAGCACAGGTTCATTATATTTTATAAGCAATTTTCATTAGCAGAGTTGAGGTTTTGTTACCGCGGGGCTAAATTGAGCGGTTATTGTGCTGGGGAGTGCTGAGCCTTGATACAGAAGGTGTGCCTAGCAGTCACACTGCAACATTAGTTAAAACTAAAACCAATTAGTCCTGCTTAGTGAAAAGCGTTATGCTTTCCACCCAATGATGATTACAGAGCTTATATCCCCTTGCGAAACAATACACCTGTCAGCCGAGATGAAGCCCAGCAAATGAAGCAGAAGCGGGCTGAGCCTTTGATAGCGACGAGAATGACTCTCGAATGACCCTTACCCCCTTTCCCTTCTTCCTCTTACTGAAATTAGCCAGGGGTGGACCCTCAAAACTGTAATTTTCAGTTTCAGGACAATAGTTATCACAGGGTGGAAGAATTAATTATGGCGCAGAGGGTATGGAATTTTTTCTGGCCCTCCCCGCTCTCAGCTTTTCCCAAAATGTCGGGTAGAACGCTTGAGTGAACGCTGCCTGTAACCCCTTTCCTACCAGTCTCGGCTGGAGACCCTTTGTCCCAGGATTCACTGCTCCAATCATTAAGCACAAATTTGTTAACCTTCTGCTGAGGGGTCAAGATCCCGCCCCTCGCCCCCCACTAACACGCACCCTCCCACCGTCACCCCCCACCCTAAACTTCTGTTTCTGGTGGATGAACTTTTACTATTAACGAACACTGGAAAAAAACAGGTCCCGATGGGGATTTTGTGCCCCCTCGTATTGTCCATGTGAATGTGTGTCCCTGTTGATTTGGCCCCTCTGGAATCCCCCTTGGAGTCTAAGAAAGGAGGCCTACAGCTCAATGTATTGATTGGCTTATTAAGGGGAAAACCTTATTAGCAATGTGTGTTCTTTCAAGCACGCATAGCGTTTATTAGAACCTTGACATGGATTTACTTCAGTCATCAGGACGCTCTCGTTAACCAGGGTTACGTATGCAACAACTACAAACAACGTAAAGTTGCAATCCAACAGTTTCTTGATTGTTTTAGGATATATTTGGTTGTAGATGCTCATTATTGTCATAATTAGTCACTTGTCAGTCAAATAGTGACTTCTGCTCTTTGGGTTTTTCTGCTGAAGTTTAAAATCTTTTCCTACAGAAAACTCGATTCACAACATATTACAATTTACTGACATTTGCAAAATATTTAATTGTATTAAAATCCAATGGATCATTGCTGTAAGCATGGTCTGCGCTGCATTCAAGCTAGAATCACTAATGACTTGTTATATTGTAGTGCCACAGGTTATGTCCCATAATAGAAAGATCACAGGTTTGATGCCAATAGGTCCAGAAAGATATGCAACCCCTACCCCCTAACTGATTGAAAGGAAGCTAATTGAAGCTTGCACAGCTCACATAATAGCTCACCCTTCTCTTACGCAAGTCGCACCTGTTCTCTTTAGTAACTCAGGTGAAAACTGATGGATGAGGGGAATAACAAATGAGGGCCCTTGTGTTCAATCCTCTGTTGTCCTCCTCCCACTGCACCTCATTGTCCTTTTCCCGGCCTGCCTTTGTGTCGCCTGTAGTGGCCCTCTTGTGTGTGTGGCAAACGCGTGGATGGGCCCCGGGTGCTCTCAGGTGACGGGCGGCCGTGAGCCTCACCTCTCCTCTTTGGTTTTGACAACAATGGCCGTGGTTCCTCAGTGGTGACTTTCCACCTGCAGAGATGGATGGCGGCTATTTTTGGCTTTAGAGAGAGGAATGTAGGGAGAGAAGAGGGTGAAGATGGATTTTTTTACTTCATATTTCATTGTATGAGGAGGGTCGATGCAGCATGCAGCAGGTTACATCAGTTGAGGAGGTTTTGGTTGAAATGTAGCATCAATAAGGCAACTGCCCTACATGTTCTTTTAGATTTTGTATTACACTTTAAAATAAGATTGAACTGAATGTCTTGTTAATCCTGACCTAAAATAGTTAAACTTACGCAGTCAAATGCTGGCTGTAAACAGTCAAAAGGTACTGTAAATCAAAGGCTAATATTAAGTTTCCTTGTAGTCCAGTTAAACAGATTATCCAGGAAATGTTAAGTACTGGGTCTTGGTATCAATTCAAGTCGATCATGTGTGTTTGGTCTCTAAGTCCTCTCCTACTGTTAAAGTAGTATTACTGAGGGTGTAGGATTAAATCACTAAACCCTCAACTGCTCTCTCTCTCTCTCTCTCTCTCTCTCTCTCTCTCTCTCTCTCTCTCTCTCTCTCTCTTACATCCACACAGTCTTAGTGAAGGGCAGGCTTGGGTCTTTATTCTGACCCAGATGAGCACTACGTTGGTTCTGCAGCAGTTGCCACATACTGTATGCTCCTCCAGGGTCTTATTGGCATGTCTTGCCATGTTCATGTGCTATCGGCCTGAAAATGTAACATGATAGTCTGCTTTCTGAAGTGTAGTGTGATCTATTGTCGTATTTAATGAATGATTAATGACATCTAACTCATTCAACTGTTTTCGTTTGGAGTTAAATGCTTTCTACCCCAGTGGTGGAGACAATATGCCAACTTGCTCAGAGCTTAAATTATATGCATTATATATTATTATTATTATTATTATTATAGTTTTTAATTTGTTCAACTTTATACATTGACCAAATTTACATATCATGGGCGCCAGGTGAAAACTTGTTGTCTCTACAACCTCAGCACTAATCAGTTAACTCTGAATAGGTTTCAACCCATAGGGTACTGTGTAAGTTAAAGGCTTTCACATAACAACAGTGATACTGTCTGACTTGAAACTTACCTGTGCAAATTGATCACTGATTAACCATTTTGATCTTCTCTTTCATCAGAACTGCAGGGTAAACCAGGGGATCACCTGTCTCACAGAGGGCTACGGAGCATGGGAACGGGAATCCTCGACTTCCTGACAACAACCAATAGCAACCCCCCTGTCCACCTCCAAGATCCGGCAACATTTTTATTCGACTGATATCTGCGACATGGAAACCTTCCATGACTGCCTACAATTCTCGTCTATGTATCCAGTGACGGTGATGCACAGAAGATCGAACCTCGCCCCACCCAGATGACCCCCTGTCCCGACAGACCCCTGCTTCTTCTTTGGTGGGCACTTGACTTCGCCCCCTTGCCACTGCCCACTTGGTTCACATGGATTCCTCCATTAAAAGTGATTGCGATTGCGAGCATAGATGACACACGAGAGACACACTGTGTCCTTTGCCTGTACCTTTGGCGAATGCAGCACCTGGTGATATATTCTAGACTCTTTGGCAAACAAGAGACTTCCTGTGAAGAGCACTCCACTCTTTGGGATGACGGAATTGGACCAAGGAGAAGCCAATGTCTGTATCTGACAGGACACTAACAGAGCAAAAGAGGTGCCCTTTAAAATATAGTGGATTGAAACATGGAAGGAGGGAAAGCAAGAGAAAAGAAATTAAAAGTATAACTATATCAACCCCTACTTTGGGATGTGAGTGGAGAAAGAAAATATACTGTATACTGTTGTAAAATTACGCTGGACTCTCACAAGAACTGGGAATTTAAGTATTGTAAATGCTATTGTATTGTTCTGCATATTATGTTGTTTCTAATAGATTTTTTAAAAAAAGGATGTGAACTTTTTTCTCTTTTTTTTCTGATTTCTTTCCACACTATGTGTGTGCCGTCTCTCCATCAAATTTGACCTCCTGCCCCCTCCCTCCATTGAATCACAATGCATTTTTAAAAAAAAAAAAACGTGAATAAACGAACAATTCGTTCAGTTGTCATTTCTCGCAGGCCTTTATTTGGATGGTGTGATGGCGATTCAGATGTCCTGGTTTTGTTTTGTTTTTTACACACAGCCTATCCACGTATGCGGGGTGCAAACAATTGGTTTCACTGTTGCTGTGTTGTTTTTTTTTTTTTTTACATTTTCATATCAGTTGATGATATCTTCCTCTGCTGGTGCAAAGTTTTTGTTAGTATAAAAAGCTCTCAGACCATCTGCGGTCATAAAACTCTCTTAAAACTCAATGGATTAACTCCAAACACAGTGACATCAAGCTAAACACAGTTTCTAAGAAGCTAACATTTTGGATGTACAAGGTTTTTAATCCAATTGCCACTGTCCAATTTTTCTTTTTATCCATTTCATACTCTATTCACACAAAGACAGACACATAATGTAGGTGTCAATATGGCTAACATCATGACGGGCTAACAAACATAATGCAGAGTTTCAGTTAATGCTCAAAAACAATCTAAAAAAAATCACTGTGGATGGGAAACTACAAGTGTGTGTCCCACAAACATGTTGTTTCCTGTTTTTCTCCATCTGTGTCTGTGATTGAGGGCCTCTGAAAGTCTATTCCAGTGTCCTATTGATGTGTTTTATGTCACAAGGCTGAGCACTCGCATGGCCAATAGATTCTCTTCCCCTCAGTGTTTGATGCGGCCTGATAACAGGGAGAGGAAAGCTATGGGAAAACACCATTTATACCACAGTCCATTCATTTTGATATAACCAGATGATGTAATGCTGATCAGACAGGAGAGAATGTAAAAGTCACTGTTTGTGTGTGTGTGTGTGTGTGTGTGTGTGTGTGTGTGTGTGTGTGTGTGTGTGTGTGTGTGTGTGTGGTGGTATGCATGTGAGGGGGAACGTGTGTGTGCATACATGCTTGTGTGGGTTATCAATGCATCCATTATCCATTGCTTCAAACATGTATTACGCACATCCTTTGAAGACAAGTCATGTTTCTTATGCTTTTACTTTGAAGGGTATATATGTACATCTGTGTTGTAAATAAATACTTTTTGTTCAAATAACAGAACTCAGAACTAGTCTCACGTTATCTTCCTACATTCAGATATGAAATGTAAAAATACACACAATAGTTGTTAAATGATTTTAATTAAAAACAAATAAGTGATGCTGAAATATCTAAATTATACACAAACATGTTTTCATGTCGGCAAGTGCCCATTGAAGAAAGCAGAGGTCCATCTATTCTTAAAGAAACATGCACTTAAAGTCAACCTTCCTCCCATTGCTGTGGATAATGTGCAGCTAATGCATGCGCTATGCTGTAATTTTCTCGCACATGGAGAGGGGAGGCGAGGAAAGAGGGGCTCGGCAAGAAAGCGAATTATCCTTCATTTAGCATTAAAATTCATTTAGGTAAAATTGCTACAAACATGTAAATGGGGAGATTAGTTCTCCCTCACGCCTTGTTGCCCGCAGTCAAAGGGCTCCACTTGAAGCCCAGCGCGCTGCAGCCGATGTTGTCTCCGGGATACACTGCACTTCAGGAGGCAGAGACTGAGCCGACTGAGGAGACGAGAGGCGAAGAGCCGAGCGAGTTTTGTCTAATTGATACATTTCGGAGAGCAACCCTGAATCCCAAAGTCAGTGTCTTGTTTTTTGTTTTTTTTTTCTTTTAAACCAGCGAACAAGAGAGAGTCTGTTTTATCCATAACAATATGCGCGTGTAAATCAATACTCTCCCCTTCTCCCTCTCTATCTCTCCTCCGCGCAACTATTGTGTTTTTACTGCCTTTGCCGAAGTGAATGCTATTTACACTAAAGAAGAAGAAGAAGGAAAAAAGCCACGCTCTTAAAAAACCCAGGCGACGTTTTAATTGCTTCGCCTCTCCACCGTGGCTGGAAAATCCGAGGCTGTGAAATGTGAATTCCTGAGCCTGTGGCCGCTGGGAGCTGTGGAGACAGAGAAAGCCCATGCTTGACTGCCCTCTTTAGGGAGGCCTGGTAACTGTCCGGGGCAGGGACGTTTGGAGATGGCGCACAGCACCACCTCTCCTTTTACGCACGGACGTAAAACCGCACAACAACGCGTTTGGAAGTTTGATAAAAGTGGGAAAGCTAAGACGAGACACAAACAGAGTGTAGCTGCAACCACTGCAAAATACATTCACACGAAAAGTATTTTTTACATCTCCATTGTTTTTTGTTTGTTTAATATGAAAAACAGATATTTCTTTAAATAATTAAAAACTGTGTCAGTCAGGTGAAATAATTGTTGTTTTCACCGCATTTGTTTAAAGTGCCACAAATGACTTCTGTCCTCTACAATAAAAAAACACATTTGATTCAATTCAATTCTTAAAATGACTTGATTTGACTTCTCAACTCTGTGACATTTTTGTTTAAAGAGAAATATATTTTAAAGACTAAATTCCTAGTTAAATAATAATAATTGATTATATACGTGTATTAATATTTACATACAACTTCTGATGTATATTATCAGAAGTAAAACACTTTTACATGATAGTGATTTTGTCTGTTTCGTTGTCACTGCTGACCTATATTTCTGCTGAGATGTCAGTGTAAGTTGCCTTTTGACTGTTTGTGTCTTCTGCAGTTTAAAGGATTTTTAATGCACGAGACTATATGAAGTTTGACTTGTGCTAATTTCAAAAGCTGAGAGTCAAAACGTAATTTGAAGTTAATGATGATGGTAGGCCTACCCACCCCTCCTCTCTCTCTCTCTCTCTCTCTCTCTCTCTCTCTCTCTCTCTCTCTCTTCTCTCTATCACACACACACACACACACACACACACACACACACACACACACACACACACACACTGACCGCAGAGTGAACTGTCAGAGTAATGAATGGAGCAGAAATGTGTTCCAGAGCAGTGGAGGTGCCCGGACAGGCCTGTCTTCCTCCCACAACAACGCAGATATTTATGCGCCTTTATGGTTCAAACAGGGAACTTGGACAACCGTGGCCTCGTGTTCTCTGCTGCACTACAAGCCATGACAAATCTCGGCGGCAATAATGTGTATAGGCTTATTAACTAAAATCACCGGATTGTAAGTGGTTGCTGAACGCCGGGGCCTGGTGGTTAAACTGTCCCTCTCAATGTGTAGCTACTGAATAGAAATGTAAGTTGAAAACTGGTTTATTCTGTATTTCATGCCAAATTCCGGCAACGGAAACGGCACACCATTTTTCCTTGGATATTTTTGTTTTTTATTGCCAGTTATTTATGATGATATTTAATTTCGTCTGCGCAACAACCACTGGAGGTTTTAGTTCAGAGTTTTTGGACAAAAAAAAAAGGAAATCATATTTGTATCGCAAGTAAAACTGACTTCAGAAAAATCGAGGCACTGTATTTTTTTATTTTCCTTTATTCTCCTCAAGAGAGCCAGCTGTTACATGTTTGCCATAAAATGTGCAGAGTATGTAGATTAACTAAACCGGCATCTATTAGGCTTCATACAGGGTCCAATTCGAGAGGGGAAATATTTAAGAAATGGTAAAGACTTTACATCAGTGTGCAACAAAACAATATTCAACCAATCCATTTATTTTCCAAAGCGAAAATCATTGCAGGAAATACACATATGGACGAAATGACACGTCAATATCTGAGCTACTTTATGAAATCAATATGGACACAAACACAAATTAAACAGTAGCCCCCCACACGCCTCGCAGGACAAACTTTCCAACCCCCCCAAAACCTCCACCTTCAAAGGTCGCGCGGCAGCTGGTTTCGAAACAAAAGAATGAGGAAAAAAGGAGGGAGAGAAAAACAAAAATCTGTTGGTGGGGAAAAAGAGTGAGACAGAGAAAGAGAAGAGAGGAGGACTGTTGAGCGGGGGCCATTTTGGATGTCATCTGTCTCCTTGGCGACGGGGCCCCGGCCCTCAAAAGCCCCTTGGGCGCACGGATTGTTTGAGAGGAGCCCGCTATTTTCTGCAGCATCATTTATCACTGTCACCACATAATGATTCCCCTCGCAGCTCCTTATTGATGTTTGTAATTGCATTATCTCATAAGGGGGGATGATCAATGGAGCCGAGAGGAGCATCGAGGGGTCAGGAGATGTCGGATTGCTGTTTGTCCATTTAATGCAACCAGGCTCTCATTATCTGCAGCCTCTCTGCGTTCAGGCTAAGTAACGTTTGGTCTGCTCTCCTCTGAGGTTTCACAGAGAGCAGGAGGAAGAGGAGGAGGAGGAGGAGGAGGGCAGGAACAGCTCGTTTCATTTGTTTAACCCCAAGCCACTGCAGATAAAAAATTAGAAATGCAAAGGAGAGAGAGAGAGGAGAGTGAAAGTAACGTGATTAAGTGTTATGTTATTAGTTCCATTAAGTCTGAAAAACGAGACTCTGAATTAAAGCGCACAGCTTTAGGCTCTTGGGCATCCGTCTTGTAGTGGTCATATAACTTGTGATGATTAAACATATCTATAACAATATGCCCTCGTGGTTAAAGCGTTCAAATTGACCTTATGCATATTAAGAGAAAGAATTAACAGGAGAATCTGGCGAGAAAATATTTCAAACTATGATTTTTTTCCTCCTTTTTGTTTGCTCCATGGACAGAAGTAGCGAGTTTGGGATTATACCGTTTTGAGTTCTGAGATATGGAGCATCAGGGCCAGACGATGCTGTTTGCAGAGACTCGTGTTGGGGGGATGAAGTCATGAGATCCAGTTTCAGAGCCCGACCGAGGCCCCCCGCGTCAAACAAAATGCGATACTCTCCCTTTCCAAACGACCATAAGGAATACCGACGTAATTACTGTGACGTGAGTAACTTTAAGTCGCCCCCCCAAACCACCTACACAGAAACACACAAACAAACACACACACACACACACACACACACACACACACACACACACACACACACACACACACACACACACACACACACCAAGCAAATCTCGTATCACACGCATTTCTCTACTTTATAAAAAATGACACGATGGCGTCTTTTGGGACGGTCAGACAAATTCAATTGTACATTTTAACTCTTTTATTTGACACTACAAACTAGATTTGTTTGTTTTAAACTAAATACAAATCATGTTCTAAGACAGAAATAGTAAATGAAGGATATGCCACAAAATTTAATTACCGGTGACTCTTCAGCGATTCTTAAATATTTCCATATTTTCTCCTGCTTTTGCAAAAATTAAATTGAATAAAAGAATGATGTGGAGAAAATTAAAAGGGACTCGTGTTAGAATTTAAAAGTTGCTACATTGGAATATTTACAATACTTGGACGGCTGCTGGGTCACGTTCTGCAGTCTTGCAGTGAACACGCTGCGCGTCATGGCGCACAAGGGGGGCCTGTCAGCAGGTATGAGTGTGGAAACCAGGGTCAGGGATTGGAGGCATGCGTACTAGTGTGTGCCAGACACAGACACTGACAGAGAGTCTGGTTCAGAAATACAAGCGGGTAACAGGTAAACGCCTTAACAACTGTGGTTTTTTTTGAGAGAGAGAGAAATTACGCACAGCTCATTCAGAGCAGGAATCTTCAACGGGGGATGTAGGCGCGGGGTGTTTCTCCACTCTCCAGCTTATGACCAGAGACATCCGGTACTTGGGATAACATGTTCTTGGCCTCGGTGCTTCCCTGCGAGCTGCTCCTGCTGCAAGGAGGTAGACGCCGCTGGCAGCGCACCTTTCCAGAGGGGAGAAAGAAGCAAACCGCGGCTGGTTCATAACCAGAGATGTTTCTGTCAGCACCTTCCTCCCTCTCTCTCTCTCTCTCTCCGTCTCTTTCTACCTCTCTCTCCCTCTGCCTCTCTCTGGAAGGTCACCTTGGCAGCGCCAGGCAGGGGCAGGAGAGCCAGAGGAGCAGGGGGGGATGTCGGCTCCTCAGCTCACCTGGTGAGACCGGATCCAATAATAGCGACCTCGCCCTCCTCCCAAACACACACTCACACACCACAGCCTGTACCCCCCATCCCCTCTCGCCCCACCTGCTTGTGGATATAATGATGATGACAGCTTGGCACAGAGCAGAATCCTCTTGCAGCTCCTCCACACTTTCC